GCAGCTCGTTCGCGACGCTTTCCCGTACACAATTGTAAGCCGCGATCAACTCGAAAATTCCCCGAGAGAACGGGGAAAAAAAAAGGGCCACATATGCAGGGAAGCTCGCCAGCCAATGAAAGAGTAAGCAGCGGAACCGCCCGACACACACACACACACAAGTGTTGGATCGACAAGATCTCTTTATCTCTCAGCCCGTCGGCGTCGTTGTCACATGACTCCGAATAAGCGAGCGACCCCCAGGCGCGCCCCTTTCTCCCTCGGCCATACAGATTTCCCCAGAGAGGGAATACCTTGGCAGCGCGTCGGGGCCTCCGCGAGGGAAAATAATCCACGGGGACGTCTTTTTTTTTTTTTTTTTCTTCTCTATCGCGACCCAAATCTCTTCTTTGAGCGGCTCCTCTCAGTTTCTTCTTTCTCGTCGTAAGTTTTTCTTTTTTTTTCTGTATTATTATTTCCCCAATGGAGTTCGTACAGCAAGCGCTTCTTGCCGATGAGGACCAGCCGCCGAAGGAGAGGCCTTTGGCGGGCCAGACGAGGGTAAAGGGTGCGAATTTTACGATCCGAAGATCCGTGAGCACGGGCGCGTGTTTTCTATGGAATCTTCTTTTTTTCCACTCACAAAAGGACCATAAGAGCATTTTGTTAGCTGCATCATGCGAAAGGGCTACCTCGTTACGCTTTTGTGCCGGGACTGGGGTTATTGGCGTGGTGTTGTAAAATGGTATTGTAAAAAATCTTGCATTTTATGGCATATATTAGGAAATCGTGATCGGATACAAGGAACTGTTGGTTTTGTTTATCTGCCCTTGGATGGATTCGTTACAGTATATCGGAATTTTTCGGTAACCTCATTGGTTTTTACGGACATTATTATTTTTCCCGCTTAATGTTTAGTCGAAAAGGATCCAAAGGAACAACTTTTTTGTTGGGATCACGGGAACAATTTATTTTATTATTGAGCGAGTAAATACAAAAGATTTTTCCATTATATTTTTCATTGAACGTATCCATGCTCTTTATTTGATATAGTTATTTCAATGGAATTAATTTTCTTGTATTGCTACGTAACAGCATTGTTGCAAATCAAAGTAAAAGCAAAGAGAAGGAAAATGAACAAATAAATGAGCGTGCAAAGAGTTTGTGCATCAATAATTACCATACATTTTTTTGTACGTTAATGTTTAAAACTTCTTTTACAACATAGTTATTAAAAATCAATTGTTACTATGATGCATTTTTTGTTATAAACAACGAATTTGACAAATGTGAAAAATTTCCCAGTCAAAAGGAAGTATAGTTATGCCATCTTTCGGAGAGTACCTCTATACAGTTGAGGTTGTCACAAACTAAACTAAAGTGTGACTCAAAGTATTTTCTACATTACCTAAATAAATCCTTATTTATTACTTAATGAAATTTAGTTTTTGTTTCAAATTTCAAATGCTTACATTATTTTTGATAGGTACATGAAAAAGATTAGATTTATTTTGGAATACATATCACTAAAAATTATATTTAGCATGTGCACATGCTCAAGAGTTTCTAACTTACCGGCCACAGGCTATAATAGATATCTTGCTGTTTTTTTGGAGCTCACTAATATTCCATACCATTTAAAGCTTACAGATTTTATTTAAGAAATAGCCATACGAACTTTACTTTGACGTGGGAACTCATTAAAAAATTTTAGATAAATACTGGAACGGTCTCCAAACGCTTTGATTTGATACATGATTATTTAAAATATACGTTATTTTAAATACAAATTTATTTAATCATGGTATTTGAAATGATTTGGAAAAATACAAATGTATTTGAGTAAATTACTTTAAATACTTTGACAAGTAAAGTTGTATTTGAAACAATGTATTTCAAATACAAATGCGTTTAATATTATTTAATTGAAATACTTTTCATAAAAATATAGTATTTTTGGTATTCGAATACAAATTTATTTAATACTATTTTTCATACTATTTAAAATAAAATAGTTCAACTACTTTATTTTAAAAAAAATAATGAATACTCTTTTACACTACTTTTAATGATTAAATATTTTATTTCGAATAAAAATAATTTTTGCTCCAAACATTTTGTCCAAGAATGTAATAGACAACAATTGAATGGGGTAAATAGATTTTTTAGCCATATTTGAACAATTTTTCCGATTCAACCGTTAAGAGGGCACGTTAGAGAAAAACTGACTGTATTAAAATGTTTGATTTGAATGCGCTCTACAACTTTGCATGTGTTATTTTGTTGTAAGATTTGAATTTATTGCTGTAACAGGCAAAAAACGCGCTTATCGCTGTTTTCGTATTTATTATGCTTAATAGAGCGTCTACTTTGTGATCTAGAGCAAAGTGTATGACACAAAAAAAGTTGTAAGTATCATTGAAAAATTGTTCTTTTTGTCTCGAAGCGCAACACTAAAAATGCTTTAGAATTTTTCCTATTGATGGAAGTTGCCTAAATGTAAACCATCAGCTTAGACATCAAACTCAATGACTCGAACAAAATTTCAGCCCAATTATTACATTATTGGATTATAATTACTTGAGTAAGTCGAAAAACTTGATGACGTACACACATACTTCCACACATGCTCTATGTGACCAACTCAGATCACCCTCATTCTAGGTTAAATATTTGTCTTGTACTAAAAATAGACTATAAGTTGTTACACCTATTGCTCTGACAAAATTATGTTGCTCTCACCTACATTGGTCGTCCCTAAAAATACAACTACGGTGTAATATCTAATGTTAGTGTTCAACGCGTGTAAGGCACTAAAAAATTAAGATGAATATAGTTAGAGCACAATACCACAGATGAGGATTATTTAATAAAACTATAAAACCTACAACTCAACCGTTTTAAAACCAGATTTTAATGTAATTATTTAATAGAAAATTTACATTAGTTCTGGTTTGATTTTACATTTTTTAATTTTGACTATAATTGTCTTACAGTTAAGATAAAAACAGAATTTTCTCTTTTTTTTTGAGGTTATATGCTTTCAGAGCTAAGCCGAATGAAATGCATATCACCTTAATGATTTGAAAAATGTCGAGAGATGACTCCCTATGTGCATGTATACCTTTTATACATCATTAAGGTTATCTNTAAAATCATGTTTGCAAAGTGTGCCAAAAGGCATTTACACGTACTGATTCTCTCAATGCGCACATGCTTATCCACTCGGACGAAAAACCCCATGTTTGCAAAGTGTGCCAAAAGGAATTTTAATAAATAATAATTTATTTGATTTAAATGACTAAGCTCCTATCTCTGCAATACGATTTGGCTTACATACATGGTTTACATACATTAAGTAATTTCTGCAGGTGGCCACGAGGGAGGCAGCACAGGCGGTTACACATAGCACGGATATGTAGACTTTCATATCCATTGTAAGCGTATTTTAAGTTTGTAACATATACTGTATAATTCCTAAATATTTTTGTATATACATGGCTATGTAATTCAAAATTAGTGACAATAAAACTCATAAAATAATCGCGGATTTATAGATATACTGAGACGTATTGGGTATGGAGTACCTCACGTGATGGTGGGCGCCCCTAGGGACAAAATAGACCTCACTGTAATGTAAAAAATGTTTCCTTGATGGTGACTGTCTTTTTTAAGAAAGTGACAATATCAAATTGAACGATAGTTCAAACTCTCCAGTTAACAATTGATAAAAAATACAATTATTATTTTTGGTTAAAACTTGTCATGCATAACTAACTCACAGAAAGTCTATCCACACATAATTATGTACCTACATAGATATACTTAATCTATTATTGATTTATATCGTTTCAGAATTGTCACTTATAGTAATGTTCTTGAACCGGGTGTTTTTTTACATAATTCCTTTTCGACGGTTTTTGAAAGTCCACACGGAGCTTTCATTGATTTTTTTTATCAAGAATTTCACTTTGTTATGCAAAAAAAGGGCCAAAATTTAAATGAATGTCTTAATTATTGAAAAGAAAAAAAAAAAAAAAAAAAAACCAACAACCCTTGCAGTTTTCCCCAGTCTTTTATTCAACCAATATAAATTATTATGAATGATGAAAAAAAGTCTCATCAGCTATAGAGTAAGTTTTTTTGGCTCGTTTTCTTACATTTAAATGCTTTAAATTTCTTTACAACCTTCTAAAAAAATTCTGTACAAATGCAAAAATTACTTAAAAACGGATTAAAAATCTGACTCAAAAACTGTTTTAAAAAATCACCCCACACTCGAAAATAATTTAAATGAAAAAATAAAACCAAACAAAAACAAATAAGAACAAAATAAAAACCACATACTGTACGCACCTATTATCTATATTAACCCCGCGTAAGAACTACCCACCATTATTTTCACTATACCCCAGTTGGACGCACGAACGTTACGTTGTCCTGATAAAAAAAAGTATGTGACCATTAATAAGCAATTACCGATGTATTTTAGAATACTGGCAGTGTATGTGCGCTGCTATTGGAGACTATTCTTGCCTAGTTAGTGTACAGAATATTTGGAGACACGTCAGTATTAATCAAAGTTTTGTTGTTATAATATTAAAGTGTACAATTTGATTCCTGAACAATATTATTTAATAATTAATCAATAACGAATACACATCTTTACATACGTGTACATGGACATATATTAGGTTTACTCGATATGAGAAGTGGATTTTGAGATTAACTTTTAAATACAAGGCCATTTTGTTTTTTTGTATTAATAGTTTACAAAATCAGTGCAACGAGTGTTTTTGGAGAGTTATTCGTTCTAACCATTCGAAATCGACGATATAGAAGGTGAGTTTTTGTTTCGAAATGATACAATTGCTAGCAGTTATATTCTCAGTAACGCTTTCTTATCATTAAATACTTCTAAAGACTCAGTTGTACTCATTGAAAAAATTTTTTATTTCACAGTTACATCACTGTTCCTTAACGCTGGCAGTATATTTTAACGTTACATTCCTCACCTAAACATGGCAGAAGATCCTAGTTCCTCAAGAGTATGGCATCATCGTTGTAGCACGTGTGAAATGACTTTTACCTGTGCAGCTGGACTCACGAAACACATGGCCACGCATACTAGCAAAAAGCTTTTCCAGTGTTCCATATGTTCGCAAAAATTTAGCTCTAATAGTTGTCTGGCAGTACACATACGTACCCACTTAGGTGTCAAACCCCATGTTTGCAAAGTGTGCCAAAAGGCATTTACACGTACTGATTCTCTCAATGCGCACATGCTTATCCACTCGGACGAAAAACCCCATGTTTGTAAAGTGTGCCAAAAAGCTTTTAAACGTCCTAATTCTCTCAATTTGCACATGCTTATCCACTCGGACGAAAAACCCCATGTTTGCAATGTGTGCCAAAAGGCTTTTACACGTCCTAATTCTCTCAATTTGCACATGCTTATCCACTCGGACGAAAAACCCCATGTTTGCAAAGTGTGCCAAAAGGCTTTTACACGTCCTAATTCTCTCAATTTGCACATGCTTATCCACTCGGACGAAAAACCCCATGTTTGCAAAGTGTGCAAAAAGGCTTTTACACGTCCTAATTCTCTCAATTTGCACATGCTTATCCACTCGGACGAAAAACCCCATGTTTGCAAAGTGTGCAAAAAGGCTTTTACACGTACTGATTCTCTCAATGTGCACATGCGTATCCACTCGGACGAAAAACCCCATGTTTGCAAAGTGTGCCAAAAGGCATTTACACGTACTAATTCTCTCAATTTGCACATGCTTGTACACTCAGACGAAAAACCCCATGTTTGCAAAGTGTGTCAAAAGGCATTTACACGTACTGATTCTCTCAATGCGCACATGCTTATCCACTCGGACGAAAAACCCCATGTTTGTAAAGTGTGCCAAAAAGCATTTAAACGCATGAAGGATCTCAAAGAACACATGCTTGTACACTCGGGTGGAAAACCCCATGTTTGCGAATTCTGCCAAAAAGCATTTAAACGTCTGAAGGAACTCAAAGAACACATGCTTGTACACTCGGGTGAAAAACCCCATGTTTGCGAATTCTGCCAAAAAGCATTTAAACGTATGAAGGAACTCAAAGAACACATGCTTGTACACTCGGGTGAAAAACCCCATGTTTGCGAATTCTGCCAAAAAGCATTTAAACGTATGAAGGAACTCAAAGAACACATGCGTGTACACTCGGGTGGAAAACCCCATGTTTGTAAAGTGTGCCAAAAAGCTTTTATACGTATGGATAATCTGAAATTGCACATGCTTGTACACTCAGACGAAAAACCCCACGTTTGCAACATCTGCCAGAAAGCTTTTAGATACCGCTATCAATTGAAGAGACACATGTTGGTCCACGTGGGTAAAGATCCCCTTATTTGCAATGTGTGTCATCAAGCTTTTGGGGATAACAACACCCTTTCGACACACACCTGTCAACAAATTCAAACGGGATCGAAACTTCCGGAGATCACGTCAAGGGATTACCAAAAATTCAGTGCAAGTAGTACTGTCACGTCACACGCGTGTGCTTATGTCAGTTCCAAATCCAAATCTCCGTCGTCTTCCAATCGAAACGAAGTCCACTTGTCGACCCAACACTGCAAATCCATCTGGTGCAAAACCAGTATTGTCCAAAATGATGATATGGTTTGGCAGTACTTCGACTGTGACGAGTGCCAAGGAACTTTCACCGATGAAAATAGCCTTAGACATCACAAACTAGTTCACCATTTTTACCGATGTTCGCTGTGTTCAGAATCTTTTAGACTAAACTGGGATCGCTCGGTACACATGGCCCGTTGGCATTGCTTTCGTTGCAATTTGTGTCACAGGATTTGCACCACAGAATCTGATCTTAGAAGACACGAAAGGGAAGCTCACGGACTTTGATTGTGCCATTACGTACATTTGCCAAGTGCACCATTTGTAAAGCAATCGCGGCAATACCCGTGCTATTATTATGTGAAACTAAACCATACTGTTTGTCTTTTGCTAACAGACTGCCAAGCATTACTAACATAAGAAAGTTGTGTGTTTATACATCTACAACCATTCGAAGGGATAAATTTTTAATAAAATTATGAGTAGTATGTACATATTTTACTCGTCCATGTTTATTAAAACATATTGATTAAAGTATATTTGCGTAGCTTGAATATTCTTCAAATTAAATTATCAGTGTTCTTCAATTAAAAAAAATTTTGTATCCGTACTTTGTTAGTTTTTTACTCCTCATGTTTATATACATTAAATCACTTGAACTGCTTACTTCATTTGCGCATTAGTTACATCATCTAAATCACTGTACTTGAGTTTAAACTAAAATAAGTATTCTATTATAACATACATACATTTAGTCCCTACATAGACACTAAGACTTTGATCACACAATTGGTGTTTTCCTTAACGAGCTTTTCTGAGTCCAATAAAACTGTTGTATATTAAACTTTTAAAATGTACTTGATAATCAAGACACTTTGGTAGCCGAACGTGGCTTAACTAAAGAGCTTGCACACGTTGACACTCATCAGGTTTTATAATATATCATATCGAAGAACGTGTCTTAAAATGTATCGAATATGTATGAAAAAATCTGTCAATCGAAAACTACTGGAAAACTAGTCCAGCGAGGAGTTATTTTGTTTAAAAATCTATCTTGAGTATACTGTTACTGTTTCATTGGTATCTAAAATAAATATAATAAATAAAAATTATAAAATTTGTCTCCTGTATGACTTAAATATAAGCAGCTTTGTACGTCGTAACTATATGCATCGTGTATAAATGCGCACTCCTACATCAGAAGTACTCTTCCACAACAGTATTGTATCTCTCAAAAATCGCAATAATATCCAGTTCATTTTGCCAAACCATTAGAAATTTTTCTGGCTGCGATATTTCTCGTCGTCAAATGTAACAACCACAATAAGGCGCAAAGCACAGTATACGTGAATTATAGTACCGACTAGAAAACCTTGACTCAACCAAGACTGTATGCGCTTGTTATATAGCTGGCTACAGTTACGAAGCGAATCATGTGCACATAAATATTAAAAAGCAAAAAACTTGTATGTTTTGTTCAACGCTTGTTACATTGAGTTATTTGTAAAATTTTAAATTAAATAAACGTTAAAAGAAAAAAGTAGCGTGCCTACCGGTAAGAAAAAAGTTCCTAGCTCGACTCCACGTTCAGTTTTCTTTCGTCCTGTCGATATTTATTAATTACAATTATTACTATTTAAATTTGTTAGTTTGCACATTTACCTCAACAGCTTGTACAATGCACCAACATCTCTTGATCTTGATGCAGTAAATACCAGCTCACTGAAATGAATTCATTTAAAAGCATAC